CCGCTGAAACCGGCCCAAATGGAACAATATGGCGATTACTAGTTACCTGCGTCCTACTGCCATTCGCAAAGGACGCCGGGAACCAGCGAAATAGTGCATTGACGCTGCAGTTCGGCGTCTTCTACACAGTTTGTGCTGGGACAGCGCTTCCGGTGACGACACAACGCTGATAGCGTGTATGCTAGTTTTTCTTTCAATTTGAAATTGCGCCCTCATGCGGAGATAAAGTGTATATTGGATGGTACAAAACGCATTGAACTCTGGAATATCACATTTGCTGTGCGACTTGCATTATAGCTAGCACTGTTTTTAATGTAAACAGTTATTTCCCAATAATGAAAAAGAAATTATAGTGGATCACACTGAAATAAAAATGCGTGCTTCGCCGACAAAACAGAACTATGCGTCGCATCGGGGTCAGAAATCAAATTTCACGTAATAATATTGTCTCCATGAACGCATTTGCGTAGATTTCCGAAAATTACGAGCCGTAAATATTTGCTATGTCATGTAAAACATCGGAAGACTTTTATTATAATATCTTGCTCTGATTTGAATAAAATCTATTATTTCCAAATAAAAATTAATTTTAGTGGATCGCACTGGAATATAAAAACTCGCACTTTGACGACAAAACAGAACTATGCGTCCCTGATAAATCTAGGTCAGAAGTTCAAATACATGTCAACGATTTTTTCTAAGTCATGTAATAATGAACAAATTTTTATGACCACATTTGTTGATTTCAAAATATTACCGGATGTGCAAGTTCGTTTATACATACACATATTAAAGAACTGACAACTAAAAACTGTATGCAAAGATAAGTTTATTTATGTGTCCAAAATGAATGCGATGTAGCGATTGATATCAACACGGGCCTTCTATCCCCAGCCTGGAAACGCTTGACAGTCTATTGTCCCATGGCTGGTTGCCGGGTAAATTAACGGTTCACACCTTGGACAATTAATCAGGAAGCGGAGCGTACACTAACTTAAGCACTGCAATCACAAACTGCAAACAGAACAGAACATATTACCGCGATTCATCAAAATACAAACATCCAAGAGAAAAAACTATCCACATCACCAACAAGTAATGTACATATCTACTATGATAAAACGCTGAATTGGTGGTACGCAGTTTCCAAAGAAAAATACCATTACATCCACATTATACAAATATTCACAGCTATAATCATAATATCATTGGGATCATATAACGCCCTAATTCATAACCTCATGATTACACAACGATTCATTTTTCTGGAGATAACAGTCAAACCATCAAGGTCTAACTGCGTGAATATAATTAAGACTCTTTCGTTGACGTGGACGCACTGGCTCTAACACAGGACAGGAATTTAGGCTCCCTGAACTTTGAATCAATTTCTATTATTTTTTCAAGCACAGACGTTTGGCAGTTGCATTTTCTAGTTGAACCTGCTCATATTCGGAACGAAGAAATGACGTTTCCAGGTGACCTAATTAAAAGCTAATTAGAGCAATCAGCGGAGCTCCTCTGAGCCGGGAACCGCTTGATTGAATGTGATCACCTCTCCAACGCCTTACAGAATAGTGTAGGTCTAGTCGGCATGATTATTACTGCGATTTTGCATAGTTCACATTGGTTGGGAATAGACATGTCTACATTGCAATTACGTAACCACAGTATTATCAGATAAAAGGCCGAATAGCTTTACTTAACCCCCCCCCCCCCAACACCTGGGTCACGTTTAAGTTTATTTACAATGAAAACTGCACCAAGAGGAGAGGATTAATCTGTTCACTGAACATAACTTATCCTTAGCTAGTGTAGAAATCATGATAAAAATTATCACCTCTACTGACAACAAAGAAATCACTGACTATGCAAAATTAATTTTAACTGCCTTAACCGCAGAGATATTGCACTGAAAAAAACACCAGCTGCCCCAAAATAATCACTCAATTTTACATTTCTTGTACTGTTTTGTTTTTGTTCTGTTTTACTTATTGATCAAAGCTGTTGTTTATTTTTTATTGTATTATTTTCAAGATCCTTATAAGGATACAAAATCAATAAGATTATTTACTTACTTATTATTTCACATACTATCACTGGCCTGTACTGTTATTTAATCATAGATTTCTTAACCAGTTGTTTATTGACTGCCACAGTGAAAACGTTGTTTTGTATATACCGCTCCTTCTCGTCCAGAACACCTTCTTGCAATGACTTTCAATGAATATTCATTTTAGTGGTCATGGTAGCACCATCAATCAAAGCAGTGTTTGTATTGTCGGCAAAAATAAGCTGTTTTCAACAAGATGATAAACATTGGGCGAAAATTTGCCAGCACCTTATCACTAATTATGTCAACAAACAAATAAACTCTGTGGTGAATGTTTATATACTCTCTGATAGCTGTCACTTATATGATGTTCCTGCAATTTGATTGATACCAACAAGAAATCGTTGGGGAAGTGAAAAACTTCATCGTTCTGTCAGACGTGTCTGTTCGGTTTGGAGCGCAGCTGGAAGCGCAACTCGCGCTACCTTGTCAGGCTAGGGCTGAATGAGAGCCGAGATCTGGTAGAGTTCAATTCAGTTCGATCAGAGCCGAACGGAACAGCATCGTCAATTACTCAGTATGAAAACAACATGGCTGAAAATTATTTTGGTGTCATGCTTGTGTTGTTTCTTTACATGGCAAGATGCTGTTGAGCTGGTATTTCCAATAAACAGGATACATGGAGGCTAAAATACGCTAAATGTGTTACAGCCTATTCGCTTAAGTTATTGTCATGCAAATTTACCATCTTGTAATTATTCAACTGTTGTGATATGTGTAAAAGTTGTTGCTGTATCGGGACCGCTTCTACAATTTTTATCTTCAGTGTCTTTAAAAAGTTTCAATTTGCACTGCATCTGTTCAGTCGTCCTTTCAAGTTTTATTGCATTTTTCTGTTTCCCGTTGAGCTATCAATCTATCACAGTATAACTGCCATTGAAATTCGGGGAACCCCCTCAATTTCTCTACAATTTAAAAGGTTTAGTAGGCGCTTCTTCTAGTTAGTTTGTACCATGTGTCTGCGTACCTTTATGGAGTGAACCTGTGCCCAGTGTATCATCGAACACAAGCTAAACACGACAGTTGAGTAACAAAACATCGTTATAGTCTACGCACAGTATCTGACACTGAGGCGCTGTGCATTGTTCTTTATTTTAGTGGAAAAGGTGTTATTGAGAAGCTTACTGTGGTTTACGTTGCAATATGGATAATAATAAAAGCATAGAAACATAAACACATCTATTGATGATTTATTGTAAACGACAATTACGATAGACAAATTGTAAATGTAAAACAGAATATGCAGAAATAATGTAGAAAAAGTATGCAGTGAAAATACAAGAAAGATAGACCATATTATACCTTCTGTTGAATTCCCATCCCTTCCCTGCTCCATTGTGTGGTTCATCTTTGCAAAACTGTCATACCATCTATTTAATATAAGCAACATTTCAAAAGAATGTAGCAATATGTAATCTCATAGCATTCCTCCATTTTCTCCTTCTGGAAGGTGGTGCTTCAATTTGTGCTCATCAAAAATTACCTCTAATGTTGACTGTGCATCCTTTAAATGGTGTATAAACATCTAGATGGATGGATGACACACTGCAACTCTTATGTTAGGGTTAAAACAAGAAAACATTTTGAATTGCAATTTCATTTTGCTAATTTTAAAGTTTGAAACTGATACCTGAACGTACATGATACTATTATTGACACGTAGTATTTTCTGACTGTATATCAAATCAATACAGTACAGCTCTGCAAGTTGAAAAAATTGTCTTAATCCTTTTTTAAATTTAAGACGATTTATAATTTATTCTATAGTTCTCGCACTAGTTTAAACTGGCACTGCACAGCATCAGTCATCATGCGGCACCTTTTAGATTGACATAGATGAACTTTCCTGACACCTGTGGGTAGA